TTAAACTATTTAATCAGACAACATTAGTGTGTCATATTTGTATCACTGCATAAAGAGCAAGATTTCAAAGAGCTTAACATTCAAAGAATTTAGAACTATACCTATTGTGGATTTCTACACTTCTGAAGTCTGTGTGTCAAAATCAAGATAAAAGTGTTATTTGCAACTCTACAAATCAATTAGGTATCAATCAATGTAGAGGTGATTAGGTATCAACTCTACATTCCTCAATCAACTCAACATTGTCAACAACAAAAAGAATGCTTTTTGTTGTTTTTCTTTTCTTTGAAATGCAGCTCATATCATCAGTTTTTGCTTTAGTTTTGTCTGTTAATATCATAACATTTTTATACCAGGGCTACCGTACTGCGAGAATCTCCTGTTAACCTATTTGGATATTCAGCATTTCGTGTTGGGATAGATTTTTTTTTTTGTAATAATTATTTACAATTTAAACCAATAAAACATCACATGCGGGAAGCACCAAACTATTATTATCAGACAGCTCTGACTATCTCAATCACAGAAAACTATAATGGGCAGTTAGCTGGTTAAAAATGTCCACTTGGCTCTCAAGAAACCCTGTCAAAAAGAGTATGCTGAATACTAGAAACAGGAAAGCAAATGAATTGTTGGCTGTTTTTGCTCTTGTCATAAAAGAAAACCTTTTTCTGAAGATAAAACTAGTCAAGCTGGCAACAACTCCCTGAAGCTTTTATTACTAGAAATGACAAGAGCCAGCACGGCGTGATGCTGTTTTGCAATGATCTCCAAGTAAACACGGTGTCCATCACCAGCCATCTAACTGGATGGAATTACAGCGGGGCCCTTTACAGGTTTATAACTTATTTCAGTGTTGTTGACTTCTATTACTCTAAAATTGACGCTGAAGTGGAAAAAGTGCACGTAGAGCTGTAAAGTAAACCGTACTTTGAAGCTGCTATTTTCCCCAACACCGTTTCATCTTTAAGGCACTGCAACATTTAAAAATGCACTGGCGCAGCTAACCCAACAGCCCCCACCATTAGCAAACAGATGACAGGATTGTCTTCATAGTTACGGGGTAACCAATTAGGATGAAACACAACTTCAACACTCGCGGAAAAACACAACCGTCTTTTAAAGAGACATTACTGCTCAAGTCGAGAACAGTAATGTGATAAAAATAAAAAATAAACTAGAAGTGTCTCTACGCCATTTCAGTGGCTTTAGCTTTAGGCCTGCGTGTCAGTGCTAATTTTAACTGTTACCGGTGGCAAATGTAGAACGAAAATGTACACTACAACTTTTTTCTCGTCTGTTTTTAGGAGCAATATGATGGCAATTTGCTGTCGTGACAGCTGCTGCTGAACATTTACTAAAAGCTAAGCAGTTAGCGGGTATGCTAACACCCCCACCCTCGACGCAAACGGACAAAAGGCCAAACATCTGCCGGTGTAAACAACCACAACGGTGCAGTGGTGGTGGGGAAAGCGTGTGCTTACTTATCCGTCACTGTCAGTGTATTTCTGATACATTCTGGCACGTTAATAAGAAAGAATTAGAGCTGTCATCCCACCCCTTGGGTCTCAGCTTTTACCACGTCATTGGACTTTCCAACACTGCGGAAACACATCGCTAACTGGTAGCTAGGTGCTAACTGAGCGCTAACTGCAGCTTACCCGTGTCCCCGATGATGATGTATTTGAAGAGATACGCATACGCCATTGCCCCTAGTTGTGGCAGTCAGTTGTCTGAACCGTTACACCTTCGTGAAACCGAGCAAGAGCCGTGCGAAAAGAGAGGCTGATAGCTTGTTGGCCTGTTTTTTTTTCAGTATCGGCGCTCAGGAAGGAACAATAAACAGCCAGAGCCTCGGCTCAACGTCACACGGTCCGCCCTCGCCACGCTACAAAGTGATGTGTTCACGGTGTCCTCGGAAACGTCATGATGTGTTTCAATGCCTCGCACAAAGTCGACTTTCAAGAATCAGACAACGTTCAACGATCAATCTCTTCCTATTCTGCTTCAATACATACACCAGCAGTTTGAAGTTTGTAATGTTGTCTAAAGTGAACTTTAACTGTTGTTATAAAATAGTAGACAGATTTGTAAAACGGTTAAGCTTATTTGGCACCATTTACGGGTTGCTATGGTAACTAAATCAAGAGAAACTCGTTTTAATGCATTTTTTTCTCTCTCTAGGAAATGTTTTCTCTTAAACTTAATCCCAAAATGAAAACACAGTGAAATGTAAAAAATATAGGGAAAGGAAAGCAAAAGCGGGCCTTTTTAAATCTACAATTCAAAGTATTTGGAGGTCCTCAGCTTTTTCATACCCTTAGAGGAAAATGCAGCTAAAACTTTATTTTTGGAAAAAGGAAGAAAGAGGGAAATGAGAAACAGGAGAAATGTTTGTTCTTCAAACAAACTCGTTTGCAAAATATTCCAATTAATGATGAATACTGGATGCTCTTTGTATTTAAAAAAAAATACTGATTTACATCTAATTCCACTAGATGGCAGCATGGAGCAGCTGCGTCTTCATGATCCATGCTGAAATTTACAGCCCTTTTAAGAGCAAACCACCTAATAAACATAAAAAATAAGGTTGGATTTGTAACACATGTTAATTTGACCTTATTCTACTGCACTATACTTCTTTTAGGTTATTTCCCACATACAGATCAGGCTCAATCTACATTTTTCATACAATGAGCAGGAAAAAAAAGGTAATCGAACTGAAATTATTCAAAGTCTTTCTAAAAACGAATTTTAAAAAATACATATATTTTATGGAAAGTGGTAAAAGGTGTAGATAAATTCTCATTCCTTATAAAGCACTGTGTTGTATCAAAACATGTGGAGAATGAGGCAGGAAGGGGTGGCAGCTGGTCAGACGCTACAGGCCCTAATCAGACCAAAAGCTCCATGGTAACTCTTCTGCTGCCTACAAAATTCAATTAATTTCACATTGGATTGAATTTTTCCTGCTGAAGTAGAGCATCGCTCATCAGGGAATTCAGTCTTTTCTTAAAAAAAAAAAATCATTAAAACCCACTGATTAAATCCTTGACAACAGACATTGTCTGTCATGAGGACTTTTTTCCTTACAAAGGCATAGCATGTGCAAATATTACATGAAAAAGAACAGCAAGAAATCAAAATATCTATTTCACTTGAGTTTTTTTTTGTTTCGAAAACAAATCTGTTTTCTTATCTTATTTGTTTTTATCTTACTGTAGATTACATATAAATGCAGAATTAAGTCTTGAAAAGTAGTTTGAATTATTATTATTATTATTATTATTATTATTATTATTATTATTATTATTATTATTATTATTATTATTATTATTATTTTAATCAGAGCCATTTTCAAATCTGTAAAGTGCTGTCTATGGTTGACTTTCCATAAATTAATTGGGTAGCTTTTAGTTCTGATTTATTCATTTTTAAAGGGCTTTTAAGCCTGCGTTCTGTTAATGAGCCAGCAGGGGGAGACTTCTCCAGTTGTTTAGACGTCTCAAACATATATGCATTTTGCTTCACACTTCCTCTGTGTGGTAATGAACATTCATGTTACATAAAAAGAAGAAAAAAAACAAAACAATCTTCTTAGGCTTTTTTTTTTTTAGCTTGATGTTCAGTTTGCAAATCAATGTCATATTTTGGGCCTGATTTTTAATCTTATCATCATAGAAAGAAATTGCAGGTTAGGGTGATGGTGAGCCTCAATTACTTTAAGCTCTCAAGCTTTTCTTTTTCTTTTTTTTTTAAATATATGTAATACCCCTTTACATTGTTTTATCATTGTGGTTGAAAATGTTTATGTTGCACAGACACTTATCTTTCAAAATCAGAGACAATAAACAGTTTGTCACTCCGACCTTGTGACGTGTGTTAGATAACGCTGAGTAATTTGTGACTGAATGCTTATAGGAGCATACGAAGAGGAAGAGAAAGCTGCTAAAGAAACTGTTTTGGTTGGAGCTGTCAGAGCAGACAGGGTGGATTTGAAATCACAGGGGTTGTGACTGAGTGAAGCTTCGATTGTTCAGAGCAGTGCCCAGAGTGCCTGGGTGCAATGAAAAATAAATATATGCTTCAAAATGCCAACGCCATCAACAGCTTTTATTGTATACTTAATATATTTTAAGTATATATTAAAACCCTATGTATTTAAACATGTGGGGCTGAAGACACATTCAAGTAGGGAGCAGTTTTGGACTTCAGGCTCTGTTTCTAGATCTACTGTAAGGAAACAAGGGAGCTCGCCTTCATTTCCATAGCTCCAAGGACAGCTTCCATATAAAGAATGTAGGGTAATTAACATCATCACCCTGCAGGATGTGGATTGGAAAAGAAAGAAGAGGAGGAAAGAACTAGCGGGAAAAGTCAACTTTTTACTTTCAAACATTGATTTCTGAAAACAATAGCACAGAAAAGCACAACTCCCCATTTCTGTTAGCTTTTTTGTAAATTTAATACGGTGGACATTAGGGAACCCCAGAGGAGGCCCCTGTCAAAAGTGGGTGTGGGTTATTGAGAATTCGTTTTTTCATGTTCATCTTGAAGTGATTAGGTTTGGAGAACAGTCGGCGCTTTTATCCTGTACATTCTGCCGCTGTCTGTCTATTTTTCTCGGCCGCTGCCGTTTCCTGCACCCAGGGGTGGGTGTGTGTGGCCTCCAAGAGAAACACCAGCATGACCTTCCTGCCTGCATTCCGACATGCAGACATACAAAGTACCACCAGGAGACCCCAAACAGCAGTAAGGTTAAAGCAATACAACACACAATGCTGGGCCACATGGCTTGAAACAATGAGCAACATTTGCTTCCCATTAAAGTTGCACTTATCTGCCTTTCTGTGGAGGAAAGCCACAGTGATCAGGCACACCTGCAGAGGCCCGGAGAGAGAAAGAAAAAAAGAAATGGGAAGAGATACAGATAACAGCAGCACAAAGACAGAGAGAGAGAGTACAAGAGAGAGAGGAGGAGGAGCACAGAGGAAAGAGAAGCAGGCTGACTGCTCCACTCTCATCCATTAGTGACATTGTGGGCAACAACTACAGAAGAAGAAGGAGGATTAAAGACTTTTAAGAATAACAAAGAGAATAGCAACCAACTTAAAGACAAAGTTACATAAGGAAGAAGAAGAAAAAAGAAAGTTAATCAACTTGAAGGAATCTTGACAGGAGGCTGAAGAGACTTAACTTAACCAGAGATTCACTTGCATTCATTCTCTCTGTGACTGAGAGAGCCGGGAACACTGATCTGCTTCCACCCAGAGCGAAGGCGCTGGAAGGCACCATGGCCGACAACCTGAACGAGGAGTCAGACTATGTCCCTGGGAAAGATGAGCTGAAATGGGGCTACGAGGAAGGTAGGCTGGTCTCTGCTTGCACACGAGAGGATGCTGAGAGTCAGAGTCCGGAGGGGGGTTGAGGGGCGACAAGGTGGAGCTTAACTCACCTTTCAGAAGACTCAAAAGTTTGCATTTATTTTTCACTTGCTGATTTTTAGGTGAAGGGATTGCCTTCACGAATGCTTGGAATTAATTCAAATGTCCGTTGATGTTTGCACCACCTCTGCAACATTGCTTATTGTTGTGAAATAGCTAGGGCCCTCCTTTACGTCGTCTCTGAGGCCAAGCACTGCATTTAGCTGAAGAAGATGAAAAATGTGAGACTTTTTTCCACTGTTCTTACAGAGCTGGGAGTGTCGTCGCAAAAAAATGATTCACATCTCTTGAACCTCTTCACATTTCATGATGTTACAACTGCAAATTATAACTTAGTTGTGCGCAAATCATCGTATAATTGTGACGTGTAAAGACAATAAAATCTGAAAAGTGTGGAATGTATTTGTTTTCAACTCTCTCTAATCTGATACCCCTAAATACAACCGGGACAACTGTTGGACAAGTCCTGATTACATTTTGCATCAGATATTGGAAAGTGTTATTCACATGTTCTCCGTACAACTTGTTTGAAATTGAGATATTCTGCGAAAAAAATCATTTGCAAAAATATAACTTTGGATATACAAAGTCAGAAGAGACATTTCTCAAACAACTTACAAGAAGTCACAGGGGCTGACTACAAATCCACATGACACTTTAAAATGTTGCTTTAATTTTCTTTTTTGAAAGCCATCACTTTCCTTCCATCTCATAAATATGTGTTACTTTGTGTTAGTAAAAAGAAAAGAAAAATCTCAACATTCCAATAATCTGCACTGAGGTTTGCAGTTGAAACATAATAACATCTGAAAAAGTTCAAGGTGTATGCATGCTTTTGCAAGACAGTGCAGCTACTGTAGCCCTGATCAAACCTTTCCGTATCGAGAAAGCAAATGTGTTATGTGTTTACATAATTACTACCAACTTGATTCCTAGTGTGAAACAGTCATTTTAGTAAAGTTTACAGATGAACAAACTGTCATTCTTGCCTTGTTTCATTTTGTCTTCCTTCTTTTGTTGCTTTTACTGAGCATCCAAGGATGAGCTATGATGCAATTCTATGACTGTTCCTGTAAGTATGCCCAGTGATGCGAAACACTTTCAATGCATGGATTTAGATGTGACTGTTTGACAAGGAAATACCCCAAGAATCCTGTATGAACCCATTAAACTTTATGCTTTCACATTCTGGGTTAATTAGTGGTAAGGAACTGCATCAAAACACTTATTTTCTCATGTGGCAATTTTTTTTTTTAACTTTGAGTGAATTTAGTTAAATAGAGGTTTGATTTTCACAAAATGTTCAAATTATAATTGTGTTGCCGTACAATAAAAATAGGTTTATTTTTATTTTTATAAACAAATTTGTTTGCATCTGTAAGTTCACACAAGCTTGTTACCAGGTACAATCTACACAGATTCAGTTCATCCATAAGTGAAGAAATACAACGTTAAAATAGATTGTACTGTTTGTGAAACTTAACAGATTAATTTTTTTCCACTCTGTTTTCCACGTAGAGAAACAATCACTGTCCATGCTAGCTGAAGTTTAGGACTGAATACAGATGCAGCTTTTTCTCTTGGCACATGTCAGGACGTTCTGGTTGTTGGTGTTTCTTTTCTTTTTTGTGCAGTGGGAATAAGCTTCTGGCAGGCTAAGTTCGCAAGTTCGTAAAACACAGCTTGACATAAGCATATAAGTAAAAGAAGGAGCTCAGGTTGATCTTAAAATGACAAAATGAGAAGAAAGAAAGTCAAATTGCCTCTGCTGGGCCTTGCAGGGTTGAATTTTGTCTTGTCAGTGCTGCAGGGAGACCCGGTGTGTGTTCAGAAAACTGTTGTCATGGCTTTAGTTGCTGAGGAAGGAAGGAATGTGGCAGCCTCCCCTCTTTTCTCCAATGGTGGGGAGAAAGGCATCAGTCCCTGCTGCAGAAAAGCTTTCTCTGAACTCTCACTCGGCTTGTTTCTTGGAGGGACTAAAGTTTTTTTAAAGTGATTGTTTCCTCTTCCTAAAAACTCACTGCAACGTGTTCTGCTCTCTCTGTGTGACGATGTCGCTCTCAAAACTGAAGTGAAACCAGACTGTGAGAGTCACTTATTGTATCATGGCGTCTTCCACATTCAAAGTAAATATAATAAATTTGCACCCATCTGACATGGATTCCATCTACGGACAAATATATTACGAAATCTTAGTCCCAATGTTCTTCATGCATGCTGGCAAGGTTTTAGTTATGATTACTTGTATTAGGTAGGACAATCTGACCTTGTTTCTGTAACCATAACCTGTTTCATATTCAAGATCTCAACACTCTCAGTCATAGCAGGACCTCTTACTACAGTGAGACCTCGTGTTTCAGAGAACAGAAAGCTGGATGGACCTCACAGGAGGCCCAGAGACAGCAGCTGCACCACAAAATCAACTGAAAAACATTTGACTTTGATTAAAGGAGAGACGTATATTTGTGTTCACATGTTTTTTCAGCGCTTTCGTGGATCACGGTGCTCTTGAAAGTTGATTTAAATCAATCTGAAGGATTCTACTGGTGAATTCATTAAAGGTTCATGAAACCTTATCTTTATTATTTTTTAGTATTTGAATAGGTTTAGTACCATTCCTTTAACACCTAGTGACCTAGTAGAGTCATTAAATCGCAAAAATGTGGTTTCAGATGAAATACTAAGTAAAGACGATGCAGCTGGACCATTGTTAAAATGCCTTGGATTTTACATATGTAATGACGTATTCAGAGTACTTTTTGTTTCAAATACAAACATAAAAACCTGAGTAGAGAGAACCACCTCGATTCATCATTTCCGTCAGAATACTCCGTCACAGGTTTCAGTTTTAATATTCCAAGAAGCTAATTTCAAACTTGACGAGAAAGGACGTCAGAAAAATGACATATGCAAACAATAAAACGAGTAGGTAGGCAGTGGCATTTTGAATCCTCGGTCAAATCAGTGGGTTTTCGTCTCTGTGAATAAAATACATCAGAAATACATACAGTATTTTCAGGATGTAACCTTTTAAAGCTGGATGAATCGGTACGAGAGTTCATCCAGCTCACCCCACGCTCCAGGGAAAACACACACCACACAGACACAACAACCCCAAACTCTGACATTCAACCTTTTGTGAACGTATTACCTCCAAACTGAGCAACTGTCTTCAGCTGCCACCTGATTAGCAGTGAAATCACATCTCAGTGTAATTTAGAATATATCCAGCTGTTCTGTGAAGGTCTAAATTGACAAACTGCATTAGGAAGATCAAGAAGCACACCGATCCTGGAAGAAATCCTTTTCAAGGCAGAAAACAAAACACAACCAGAGCTATAGCTGAATGAATCAGGGTAACACTTATGTAAGCATGGCCTATTTAAAATCTAGAAGTAAATACAATTAAGAATTTGTGGCAGTCAATCTGCCACAAATTCTTACCGAACTTGAGCAATTTTGTAAAGAGCAATGAGCAAAAGTTTCTGTCTCAAGATGAGGAAAACTACTAAAGACCTCAATCAATCAATTTTTATTTAAAAAGCACTCTTAATGCTAAAAGCAGCTCAAAGTGCTGCACAGATCAATAAAAACAAACCCATCTTAAACCCCACAGGGGAAACCACACAACTGCGCGGAAATTCACAGACTAAGCAGAAATGATTGAGTTCAGGAACCACAGTTAAAAAGACGGGTCTCTAAGTACAGCAACATTTTCTGCGGCCCCAGGTTCTCTGGCAGACCGTTTCACAATACTGGAAATAAGCCTTGCCATAAGTGTGTGTTTTGACTCTTGGACTTGTTCAGCAGTCCGGGGCCAGAGGACCTCAGGGCCTGCAGAGGTTCATAAGGCATTAGCAGCTCTGCAAGGTAAGACGGTGCAAGAGCATTAAGATATTTAAAAACCAGTATGAGAATCATAAAATCAATCCTGAGACGTACTGGGAGCCAGTGCAACGATTTCAAAACAGGTGTGATGTGAGCCTGCCTTCTGGTTTTGGTCACTCGAGCTGCAGAGTTTTACAATAGTCTATACGGCTGGAAATAAAGGCGTGCATCAGAGTCTCAGTGTCAGCGAGGGAGAAAATAGGGTGAAGTCTGGCTATGTTCTCCAGATGGTGCAATCCTGTTTTAATGATTAGTTCAATATGCGGAATAAAAGTGAGCTCAGAGTCAAGAACAACTTAACACAAAATCTGCAGGAGTAATTTTAACAAAAGATGGTTCTACAACAATACAATTAGCACTTTCAAAACCTCTTCTGTTCTTCTCAGTCTAATGTATCATTATTCGATTTTCAAAATTAAATACAATGGGATAAAATAAGTACCAGTTAAAAGGGTGAAAACACTGCATTGTGCGCAACAAGTTTTCAAGCTGACGAACCAGACTTGAATGGAAACAAACATGTTTGCTGTGGATTTTCACTCATAGGTGTAGAATGGGGACTCCATTTCCCAGCAGCCAACGGCGAGTACCAGTCTCCGATTAATCTCAACTCCAGGGAAGCGCAGTATGACCCCTCCCTCCTGGACGCCGGCTTATCACCAAACTATGTGGTGTGTCGAGACTGTGAGGTCATCAACGACGGGCACACTGTCCGCATCCTTCTCAAGTCCAAGTCAGGTCAGTCCCAGGAGACATGCTGAGAGAATGCAAGAAGCATGTTCAGGTGTCGGCGTTAGTCACTGTGGTTTATTGGTGTTACTTGTTACAAGGGAAGACAAAATCACTTCTGTCCAACCCCAAATGACCCATTTCCACCCCTGCTGAGTCGCTCTCTACATGCTGAATTATGCTTTTGCTTCCTGTTTACACTTGTTTAGACCTCATTGTGGTTTCCTTTGCTTTTGGCAGTGGTTACTGGGGGTCCATTGCCTAGTGATCATGAGTACGAGCTTCACGAGGTTCGATTCCACTGGGGCAAAGAGAACCAGAGAGGATCAGAGCACACCGTCAACTTCAAGGCTTTCCCGATGGAGGTACACAGGACAAGCAACACATCCTGCTCCAAGAAAAACACAGCGATCGTGTGTTTGTGCCTCCGGATCAGACATTGACCCTTATGTGCATAACATTGGAGCTGCTTGAGCCCAAACAAGTAACTCTTCTGACATATTGTGAAAGAGGGAATCATTACATTACCTTACAACTAATTTAGGAGTAAAGCCTTTGGAAATGACTTCACTCACCCACTCTGACGACGTTAGAGTGGGTGAGTGAAGTTATTCTCACTAGTCTTTATCTCACGCACACATCTGAGAGAGTCATATCAACTCTGATGTGGAAGATAACATGGTGCGCAACTGTTTTGATTGCATTTAACCTGCAAGAGCACCGGAAAGCAGATCTCAACCAAATTTAGAAAAAAACTGCAATTCATATTATGTGTGTTGATCAGGTAAAAACTACTACGTTATAAATCCTGCCTCTTTTTTCTACAGGTTCTGAAAGTGAAAGGAAAAGTGATCCTTAAGGGTGTCTATTCAGGAACGATGATGTAAAATTTGCTTCTATTGCCTCAAGACATGCATCCATGACTTTCCCAAACTGAAGATGCAAAAGAAATCCAGGAAGATTAATCTGTTCCATCAAAGCGAGTTTTATACCACAGGCTAAGATGTTTGCTTCCCAAGAACCTCAATTTGAAGTAAAATCTAAAATGTCCATTTGGTGATGTTCGTTTAAGTTAATGCGTTGTTCCACTAGAAGTCGCTGTATCGAACATCTTTCTGCCTCTTTAGACAATATTTTGTTTCTCTTGATATTTGATTTGGCTGTTGAGAGTAATGCAATTGAAAATAAGGCTTTGGCTTTTAAAAGTCGCATTTAATATGTAGTAGAAAAAACAGAATGATGGCATCTATTTTATGATGCCATATTTATGTGTAGGCACATAAAGTGTTACGAAAGCATAATATGGATGGACGTTACCCTGATTTGTATAGTTGCATGCCATTATTTGAGCAGATAAACCCAAATGATGAACCAGATCTGTGGAGATCTACAAGTTCAAATATCAGAAGCTCACGAAGCTGCGACATCATTATCATCTGGGTGTTCACAAAATGTCTCAGTGCTTGTAAGCTTCTCAACTTGGCGTAAGTCATTTTGGTAATTCTAAGTCACCTTCTTTTTATACAGTGTATTCAAATGCTCTGCTTCAGCTGTGAATGTAGCACACAACGGGATTCGCAAACAGCAATTTTTCCAACAATTTTGTTGAAATTTTATTTTATTTATTTATTTATTTATTTTTTACAGAGAAGTCAGGGTATGTTCAGCTCATTAGACTTTTCTCTTGGAAAGTTTCACAGTTTCCAGTCAGTCTTTGTTTTGACGTAAACCAGACAAGGAGTTCGTCACACACATCTGAGGTTTCCTGCACACTCATCGCGTTAATGACCTTAAACGCCCCTCCAGTTTATGTTTTATTGTCTTTTTTCTTTTTGTCCTCAGCTCCATCTGATTCACTGGAACAGCACTCTCTTTAACTCTCTAGAAGATGCTTTAGGGAAGAAGAACGGAGTCCTCATTATAGCACTTTTTGTCCAGGTAAGTACACCTGGAACTCAGATCATATCAGTGAGATGTGTGGTTTTTTTTTTTTTTTGAAGAGTTTAGAGATCTTAGTGAATATTTAATTAAGGAAATGTAAATTAGTGCTTGCATTTAAGTATCGTTCTTGTTTCGTCCGATAATATGCTTAATAAATTGCAACATATTAATTAGCACATTGATAATCTCATATTATGCATAAATTTGGCACCACCATTACAGTCACTACAAGTGAGGCGAATAAGACTCGCCTTTGCTTAAACATATCACCTGCTGATTCATGCTAGTTGAAGTGGAAGTGGAAGCTCGGCTCTGTGATAAGTGACGGCACCCGAGGAAAACACCTCATTCTTCTTTTTGAACCTAGTCATTCCTGACCTCCTGAGGCCTCTGCCTCACACATCCTGTTTTCTACAATGTCTGTTCTTTAATCTTCCACTGTTTCTTCCTGCATGATAACAGAACGCAGACTTGTCTCTGCTGAAAAACGCAGCTGACATTGTGAAAACAGCCGCAGGCGGCAGTGATAAGTCTGTGCTGAAACCCCAAAATGCGTGTATTTGTTTCAGATTGGCAAAGAGCACCTGGGTCTGAAGGCCATCACTGAGGTCCTACAAGACCTGCAGTACAAGGTGAAGCCAGTGTGATGGCGAACTGCAGAGGTTTTACTCAGAGTCGCGCCGTGAGGGTTGATGTGTCATAACTGCATCTTTTTGCCACTGTATTTTATTTTAGGGGAAGAACAAGATAATCCCATGTTTCAACCCCAACACGCTCCTACCTGGTAAGACAGAAATGATTTGATCTCAAATCTTTATGTTCAGGTCAAAACCCTAAATATTTGAGCAACACGTGTGAGTTAGCAGCCAAACAGAATATGGCATATGGGAAATAACACTGATTCTTCTGGATGCCACCTGTGCAAATTAGAGACACGTAGAATAGAAAAAACAGGTTTATAAATGTTGTAGTGAAACAGAAAAATCCCTCTTGGATGATTCTAGAATAAAGTTGTTGATTCCCGCTGATCTGTACAAGATGAAAATCATACAGGGTAAATAAATGCATCTAAAGTCACCAATATTAAGCAATATTAATTACCTTTTGTAATCGTCAATAAGCTGTTGGCATAATTTTCTTATCAGAGTTGGTACAGTTCAATTAAACCGGTTGGTTTCCTGACATACTTTTTCAATTGGATTAATGTTCTCGCCGTTTTCAAAGAGTGACATCAATAAGGGTTTGGGGTCGCTGCCATGCCGGAATTACCCAGTTGTTCCCTTGTTTCAATAATCTGAATAAAGCTGGTGATGATGAGATTAAAGGAAAGTGGCTAGAATTGTTTGGGACAACTTTGACCATGCAGTGGAAGCTGCTGAGACACCAGTTTCCAGTGACATTGGCTCAACATCACGATGGACTAAGAGGATGTCAAGAAAGAAGCTCAACCTCAAAAGCCTTTTAAATGAACAAGAATGCGCATTTTCAGTTTCTGCTCACTTGGGGAAAAAAAAAATGTTTTTGCTATATTTGCCTGCAAGGACAAGAACAATATTTGGAGGAGTCAACCTGGACCTGGGACAAATTTTGGGTGTGTAGTCACAAGCTGGGGAAACAGTAAGCTTTGCTTCCTTTTGCTGTGCTGGCTGCTTCCAGCAATGCCAGCAACGTTTCTCTTCATTTTAGAAACTGCAAAAAGGGACAAAATGTCAAGTAGGAAGTTGTTTGCAAGGTACATAAAATCCCTCGTGCACACAGTTCTATCAAACATCTGTCAGCGAGAGCTGCAATCTAATATCAGCATATGCAAAACACACGAGATGTGGCAAATATATTAATAGGGAGAATAACTACCAGAGTTTTGTGCTCAAAGTTTCAAGGAAATCAGACAGCAACATAATATCTGCAGACATAACATGACCATTGTTGTTCAAATGTAGCAGGTGGAAGGTCAGTGCATGCATGGGGGAGGAAGGGCTGATATTTTGAGAAGTAAAGAGGGTTTCAGACCGTCTGAGGCATTAATTATTTTTGCCACGTCGGAGTACAGTACGTTCACTTTGTAGTTCATAGTTTCATCAAATCAAATGTTCCTGTCGGTCCTCTCCTCCCTTTTGTTATCACTGCTGAAGCCAGCGGATAAATTCCTGAGCCTTTATCTTGTTTTGTGCCTCTCTTGAGCCCCTAATAAATACAGAACAATCCCTCATTCCTGTTTTAATTAAATTCTGTCAGGTCTGTTTGCTCTTATTTAAAAAGAGAAAAGGAGGGAAAATAATTAAGTTCTCGTAAAAGCCAGCGTTTCGAAGAATAGCTGAAGATTAAATGTTGTTTTTGTGATCGTCAGACCCGCTGCTGAGAGACTACTGGGTGTATGAAGGATCTCTGACCACACCGCCTTGCAGTGAAAAAGTGACCTGGATACTTTTCCGCTATCCCCTCACCATCTCACAGCTACAGGTATGGAGTCAAGCAAAAATGTTTTCTTTTTCTTTTTTGAAGGCTTTCTTCATCTTTAGTGGCTCTCTCTCAGTCTGAAACCTCCATCACAGTGAAGAAAACTTAAACTGTTTACATTGACAGTAAAGGTTGCAGCAATAAAAATCATCATCGAGCTAATGACTGATTCATCTAGCTTCCTATATTTATTTATTTTCTTCAGCATTTTATCACAACATATGCACTGCACAATCCGTATTTCAACTAGAGTTTTCTGGTGTTCTCCACAACGGTCTCCATGCAGCAAGCCTTTCCACCCACTGCCAATCCATAAGTCTGTCATGTTGCCTTTGATTGCTTTAAACTTTAATTCAACCTTTGCCTGACTCGTGGCTCTCTTCCAAAGGGTTTGTTTTCTTTGAAAGAGATAAAGGTGCCAGCCCTCTGACATTTATTTGTGTCTTTCATCTTGACTGCACTTTGGCTTGCTGACCCTTTGAAATGCGCGCACAAAGAGGTCTTTCTGCCTGTCCTGCCTCAGGCCTTGTGTGCGGCGCGGGCGAAAAGAAAGCAGGCGAGATCCGAAGACGATGAATCGGTTTGTTTTGACTTCACCAAATACGCGTGCGTCCAAACTTTAAGACATGAGCAAAGTTCTGTATTTTATTTCACACTGAGTTTTAAAATTAAGATTAGGAACAATGTAAAAATTAAAAAAAAAATTTTGCCAACAACAACACAGAAGGATTTAGACTTTAGCATGTCAGCTGAAGCACTTAACAAGAGCCAGTTTTGTCCTGCGGTTCAGCATAATGGAACAATTACAAGCGGGTCAAATGAGCTATTAGAGGCTCCTGATTGCAGCAAATCCGGACATGGACGGATAAATGCGATTGACTCACTCTGATAAATTGATAACTTCCCAGGCAAATGTTAAACAGATCTGGACATGTGGACGTCAGTAGGTAACACCGCAGTGGCCAGTTGTGTTGTTGTTGTTCAGTAATGAAACGTATTTATGTCTCAAGTCTTTCGTTCATCATCAAGGTTTTCTACTAGAATCCTCAAGATTGGAATGAAAAAAACTTAAATAAAAAATGTTTGCAAAACTGCATTGCTTTCATCTCAATTGTTAATTTTCTGTTTGTCTTAGCAGTCCTTTTGTTGCCTCTTGTTCCACGTTTCCCCACATTTTCTCTTGGCACACATTGTTAGGTGTGCAAAATGAAACGCACTGAACATACAGACTCGTCTAGTGGCGTGAAGCTTTCTCGTCATGCTTTAACTGGATGAACCAAATAAAGCATAAAAAACCCAGCAAGTCCTGCTTTCCGAGAAAACGCACTTCAAACATCCTGATGTTATCGATTGCTGCAAGACAGAGAGTGTGTGTGCAGAGTGAGTATGTACACATACATGCCAGATACCACAGCCTTTGCACTTTTAGAGAGCGCCGTAAAAGTTTCGGCAGCCAACCGGTCTCACAGCAGCTCAAGAACTGCTGTTTGTTTTAGCAATGTGGGTGATTCTCTCTGTTACGTGTGTGTAGGAGAGATGCAATCTGCAACTGCAGCAATTTCACTTGAAAAGGAAGATTTCTTTTTCTTTGTGGCTTTGACTTTCAAGCATTCTGGCCAAAGAATGACAAAACCGTATACTGTTCCCATCAGAGATAAGACATGCATCGCCCACACTTCTACTTGAATTTTCTCAAACGTGAATGTTTTGGCGAAATACAACCTTTCATGAAGGGAAAAGTGTCTGAATAATCCAACAACATCAAACCCTCAAATGTAGCAGGAAACCTTGCAGCGAGTTGTCCTTCAGTAAGGGTCTGAGGGACGTGAGGTTGTGGCCTTTTTATTTATGTTTTTCATGTCTCTGTTTGCAGATCGAGGAGTTTCGGAGGTTACGGTCGCACATCAAGGGGGCGGAGCTGCTCGAAGGAAACGACGGGATGCTGGGGGACAACTTCCGCCCCACCCAGCCACTCAGTGACAGGGTCGTCCGCGCCGCCTTCCAGTGACTTTCACTCTCCTGTGCCGTCTCAGTGAAACTCTGGGACCTACACATAAAACCATGGAAGGTAACAGTTTTAACAGTGAGATCAGCAGTGGAGGCGTCCGTAACGCAAATGCAAACTTTTAATCTTTTGTCTCAAACAAGAAATATGAAACTTGTGCAGGATTTTTGCTGTGAAAGACACTCCAACCCAGAATGTGTTCCACTTGTCCCAAAACGCCCATCCTCAGAGTTATAAGTGTGTTCAGCACGTTTCCTCTCAGGAGACACGTTTTTTTAATGGGAAAAGGTGCATTGTCCCAGAGGCAGCAGATCGAGCCCTGGAAGAACTAACCCAGTTCATTTACTAATCTGGGACTAGCCTATATACATCGCAGTGAGAGAGGAGGCTTCAGATTTAGCTCAGCAGCACTGCGGCAGAGCTGAATGCAGACTGGTGGGGAAAAACATTTTTAAAAAATACCTAATTCCTTCAGTTTAGACTTTTAACCTGGAGGGGAAAAGAGACTCCAGTTTGTGTGAAAATAAATCACAAAATTAAGACTGCCCTGAAAAAATAATTGGCTCCTTTATTCTTGTCTTTTGCTTTTTTTCCTCAAATCTAGATATTTATAGTCATCCAATTTCTTTTTCAAATAGTAGACAAGTTTAACAAGTAGACCCAAAAGTCAGGTTTTAAACGATAGTTAACAAGGAACCATAGTCTGCCTTGTCTGAAGAACAACTGCTGTTCTGGATGTTTTTAGCTTAAAACTCAGACTTTTTATAAACCACAAAGGTGAACTCCCTTTTGTGCTTTGGGTAATTGTGCTGAAATCAAGAAAATTTCAGCAATCTCTTTAAATCACATACGCAGTATCGGTTACGTCTAAAGCTGTTGGCACAAATTGTGTATGGCTTCCACACTGAGCAAGATTTTTCATCGAGATATTCAAAAATCAGCTGTTTTTGCTTGAAGCCCACAAATGTTAGTCAGACTGTAACTAAAAAGTTCATTTTTGTTGTTATCTTTTCTCATAGGTCATCACTCCTGCTTATTTAATTGCTATATTCCTCAATTCATTGCAGGCTTTGCAGTTAAAAAGGAAAGTATTTTAGGAAAGTGGATTCCTAAAATACGGTTTCCATCCATCCATCCATTGTCTGCTTCTTATACGGGGTCGGGTCGCGGGGGTAGCAGCTTAAGAAGGGAGGTCCAGATTTTCCTCTCCCTACCCACTTCTTTCAGCTCCTCTGGGGGAACCTCAAGGCGTTCCCAGGCCAGCCGGGAGACATAGTCCCTCCAGCGTGTCCTGGGTCTTCCCCATGGCCTCCTCCTGGTGGGACGTGCCTGGAACTCCTCACCAGGGAGGCGTCCATGAGGCATCCTAACCAGAGGCCCGAGCCACCTCAACTGGCTCCTCTCGATGTGGAGAAGCAGCGGCTCTACTCTGAGTCCCTCCTGGATGACCTGGCTTCTCACCATATCTCTAAGGGACAGCCCAACCACCCTATGGAGGAAACCTATTTCGGCCGCTTTGTATCCGCAATCTCGTTCTTTTGGTCATGACCCAAAGCTCATGACCATAGATGAGGGTCTGAATGTAGATCGACTGGTAAATCTAGAGCTTCACTGTTTCGCTCAGCTCTCTCTTCACCACGACAGACCGGTACAGCGCTCCCTTCACGGCAGACGCTGCACCAATCCGCCTGTCAGGGAAAATACGGTTTCCCTGAATGCTAATTTGACCTGTGCGGAGCTCTTTATGACCCTGTGGCACAGCTGGATCCAGGAGAGCAATCGTGATAAACTTGCACTGTAGTTTGTATTTAATTTGGGGGGAAACAGAAGGGCTGGATGTAAGCAGAAAAACAGAGACGTGTGTTGAAAGGGGGAAGCTAGAGGGGCTCTGAGATGAGGGGAGGTGGGAATGCCAGAGGATTGAAAGAGGAGGAGGACGGAGCAGAACGGGCAGGAACAAAAGGGGGCTATTGTTGCAGGGGTGAAAACAGATACTGATGTGGTCCCTGCAACACGAGCCCAACCGAGGTCAAAACATTGTTTGCTGCAGAAGGGACCGGTCCACTTCACAAAATATATGGAATAGTAACCAAATATTACGTGGATATATGGAAGCAATTTCTCAACATGTCAGCCAGGAATTTAAAGCTCTGGTACAAATAGTGTTATTACGTGTACAGTGTCCCTAAGCACAGCACCAAATTAGCTACAAAGTGGCTTGAGGACAACAAAGGCAATGCTATGAAGTAGCCATTATGAAGCTGTGATCTCTGTCCAATTGAAAATAAGGAGGTGGAGCTGAAAATATGTCTGTGAGCACAGCGACCTGCAAACACGACTTACAAGACTACAAATATTTCTACTTAATATTATCATTGTTTAGCTATTGAAATATCAGCTCTAGAAAAAAAGACTACTGCAAAATTATTAGTTTCTCCATGTTTGAGTAAAATGAACATTGTTCTTTTACACTATGAACTACTGGCCGGTGACTGACATCGGACCACTTTTTCAGTAACTGGTAATCTAACGCGTTGCTATTTCAAATCCAGTAGTCAGACTACAGTTACTTATCGAAACCACTTTGCGTTACTATTTTCTTTTGTAATTAAATTTGACTTCCTCTACGCGCCTTGGGGAGAGTGGGATGCATTTTGTTGCTGGAAAAACAGGAACTATTTTGAGTTTCCGATTATTAGAAGCGGTCTGGGTCTTTTTTTAATTTTTTTTAAGTTACTTGCAGATTTTGGGGCTTAATGAGACATAAACCCAGAATTTGTCCGACATTTTAGCTAGACTCTCCCTGTCCGCCATAACCCGGATGATCTGTCCAGCTGTGTCTTTGTTAATGTCAATTTATCATACACTGCATGTAAACATCTTTTGTGGGGGTTCATTGAGTAATTTTCTTGCAATCAGAAGGCTGTAGGTTTGATCCCAGCGTCTCCCAGTGACGTGTCGTCAATCTGTTTGTCAGTGAATGAATGTGTGCAACTGAGTGCGGCTGGGTGAATAGCTGTGGTGTAAGGCGCTTTAAGTGGCCAGTATGACTAGAAAAGCGCCGTATAATGCTGTATTTCACTATCAGGCTTTTATCAAGGCTTTGTGTTTGGACTGGACTGTAAGCTGTATGTAAAGATGGAAAATGTTCAATTTTGTCTACCTTATGCAACACACACAGAGGTCAAACCTAGTTTGTCCCAGTTGTGTTTTTTTTTCCTCTCCACCTCAGTAATGCTGAAAAGCTGCTTACCTGGGAATCATAAAGAAAAAACGTTCATAAAGGTTTTCCATCCTTTCCGTTCTTTGGTCCCAGGAGGACTGTTAAGCACATCTGGATTTCTTTTAATGAGATTCATGTTTTTCTTTCTCTACAGGAGAAGAAAACAGAGGAGTGGAAACAGGAAGAAAGAAAGGAAATTAATGTGATAACAGATCCAAGACAAACTAGAAGAGAATGAAAAAGCTTTTAGTGCCGCCACCTTCACTCCAGGCTTTGTGTGTGTGTGTGTGTGTGTGTGTGTGTGTGGGGGGTGTGCGTGTGTGTGTGTGTGTGTGTGTGTGTGTGTTTCAGTACATGTGAGTGCAGCCATCTTTTTCTGGATTGTTTCTCACTCCTCCCTGTATTTTTGCCGTTCACATTGACTGTTCATGTGTGTATTTGTTGCACGTTTGGTTTGGGGCGTCATTGTGTCTGCGTCCTGAGTGTGTGTTGTGACTAAATGATGAAGAATCGACCGCAGACGAACAAGAAGCCTGAAAAACACACACCGGGACACAGTTTCACTCACCCGTCATGTTCTTCATATTTTAATACTCCACTTAAAATAATCCTATTATCATTCTTATGAGATCAATATTAATAAACTTAAATCTTAAAAAAAATAATTTATTTTATACAGAAGCTGTGAATGATAAACTGGGAATAAATGGCTTCTGAAGTTCTATGTTCCAGCTCACTTTCCGTCTTCTGGCAGTGAATTCAACACCACTTTCACCTTTTAAAAGACAAGTGAAATAAAAATGATTTCACTTGTCATAGGTAAGACAATAGGTAAGATGTATAGTGTGTTAAGGTACAATACATCAAATGGAGTTGGTACGATTTATAGTAACGACGACTGTGACTGGAAAGCAACAATACACTACAGCTTACTAAAAAAAAAAAGTCTGTACATGAACTAACAAAAAGAGCGTCTTACATGCCATTCACAGAGCAAACGCATCTGATGACAAGCAGGTGAAAACTGGCCAATCACGTTAAATTGACGTGGGAAACGTGTTTTTCTTGAGCATTAGAAAACAGCTGTTTTCTTTTGACAGGTGCTGATATCAAGACACTGTAAGAACTACAGGACTCATGTTTGGGGAAGGGTTCTTAAATCAATAGTTTGGATGTTTGTAACCCTTTAAGTCCTAAACATAGCGGCGACCATCCAGCCAAATTTATAGCACCCTAATTCCGCCACACTGTCTGAAAAAAACCCAACGGTTTTTGAAATGGGAGATGTTGTTCTTCCCAGCCATTACGGTAATTTTACCCCCGTCCTCAGCAGGGAGACTAATCTGAGGGGCAATCTTTTAATAGGCCGTAAATTGCGAAAATCACTCGCTAGATATTGAAAGTTCCAGTTGTTGTGGATAAATGGGCTAATGTATTTACTCACAAGACGTTTAAAAAAACTGCATACAATTTAAATAAACAAAAAATATGCAGGCGGTGGTTTGAAATTTAGGACATAAAGGGTTGCAGTTTGTAAAAACAAACAAAAAAACGAATGAATTATTTCTGTCTTTCACTGTTTAACTTGAAACAAAGTGTTAAAATCAAGTCAGATTGTGCAATTATTGTATGGAGCCTATATGAATGCGTACTGCACAAAGTTTTGGTTTATTGTCAGAATAAAAAATGAAACTTGTGTGCATTCTTGACTCTGCAGCTCGTTCTTTTTTTGCTCCTCTCCTCTCTTCAAATAATATGATGCTAATATTTCTTTTTCACGTCTTGAAATATGAATTCTGCTTTTGAACTGCAGCCTAAATAACACACAGCTTCCTTTAGTCCCCAGCAACCAGCCTGGTCATGTATTTATTGGTGTGGAGATCATAGTTTATGCGTTATAGCTCCTTGTTAACATTCTGTTGCCTGCAACTAAGTGAGGGAAGCAAAACTTGCAAGTTTTCTAATGAAATGTGTTACTCCAGAAAACCTTTCCAAGATCTCATAGAGAACATCTACAAACTGTGATTGTTGTTCACCTTTTTGTAAATTTAAAGTGCAGAAATAGATATGTCGGCCAACTTTGGTCAGGTATTTACCAAAGTTCTAAATCGTTTCACATTTTTATACTGCGTTTAAAAATAAATATACAATTGGCTTCATAATCTGTTGTGCAGAATTATTCAGTTTTCCCTTTTCTGTTTTTCTTCCAAGCTCTCAGACTGTGCTTCCTTGTAACATCTCTAAGTGAATCTTGAAACCCTTTGCTATTAAACTTTTGTTTTTTGGGGGGAAATTTACTGAATTTATTTTCTGGGGACATTAAAAAAAATCCATCTTTGTTTTAATCCAATGTCAACTAAATTAGTCCCCACTGTTAACTGAGCAGATGCAAGCGTGTTGATAGAATGAAAAAGAAAGATTGATTGGCAAAGAATATGCTGTTAAATTATTATCTCCCTGAAATATTGTTTATTCTGATAAAATAAACCCCAGGCTGAAGTCCCTGGTGCCATGTAACATCCATGAGTTGATTGTTGCTCAAGTATAGGGAAACTAAAATATTCCTTTTATTAAACAGAAAAGAAGTCAATTATTTCGTATTTTAAAACACAGACTAATGGCAAATAAACTTTCCAGAGTTTAAAGCTGATAATAAGGATCTGGATCTTGCAATTTACAGAGGAGAAATGCTTCTCTAAAGTAAATCTTTCTTGTGTTTTTGGTTAAAAATCTTTAGAATGAGTCCAGAGCAGGGCAGTAACAGGTAGCATTAGTATTATTTTCTCAGTGCAACACAGTGTGAATTTTCTATATTTATTTTTGCCCAGCCAAATTGTTTGCAAGCAAATCTGAAGCTTTAAGAGTTAAACTGCAATTATACTTTTGTAGATCTTTGGTGTTCAGCTCAGTTTGCTGTCACCTCAAGCCAAACGCTCTCAAGACTGCTCAAATATTTGCACAAAACCTTCGTTGGACTTATTAAGGTGTGGTGGTTTAGTCTGCTCGGAAGCAAACACTAGTGAAAGTCATGCATCGTGCCAGATCTCCTAACAACCGGATCCAAGGGTCGAACAGGGAAGGATGCAGGTCAAAGAGTCTGATTTTTAGCATCGAAATATTTTGTTTTGCAAATGATTTGTCATATGTTATGACTAACTGAGAGAAAAATAAGTAGTTTCATTCACTTCATTTACCTTTGACTCCTCTAAGACTGTGACTTGAAACTCATGTTACTGAAAATAAGTATGGGCTAAATTTTTTAAATATGTGATTTCTAAATTAATTGCACTGAACTGGATGTTGGGTAATCAGAAAAAAAATAAAAATTGAATACACTTTAAACATCAAAGTTATATTTTCAAAAATGCTCAATTTTCTTCCACTTTACAAGTTATGTTCCACTTTGTGTAGGTCTATTACAAAAAAATTTAAAAGAATGCGTGTAAAATACATTGGTGTTTGTGCAAAAAAAGTTGAAGGCGAATGAAAAAGCTCTGCAAATCTGAGATGCAAAGTCTCCAAACTTTTACATGCAAAGATTTTCTTTGTGTTCTGGACGAAGCCTTCAGTTCCGTCAAAATTCACAAATGATGTGTCCTACTTGTGCTGCACTCCAATTAGAACAGGCCGCGGGATGAAAGCAATTTTGCTCTTCATATAAAAATAATAGAAATCAAAGAGCGGCCTGTCCTCCTCGGTAATTATCTCTGCCAACAACTCCCTCTGATCCAAAACTACAAAGTCCTGATGGCTCAGGAAAAAGATGTGAAAAAAAAAATACAGGAAAAATACACACAAAAAAGTTTAAATAAAACACCCTAAAAGTCATTATGGCAGCACAGTAGTGTATACAGCATAAACTTCTGGAACTGGTAATGTCAACAGAATGGCTTATTGCATTATTATCACAGTAAGCTACAGGTAGAGTCCGTATGTAAGTTATTGATCACTTTACAAGCTGAGCCCAACAGACTCATCTGTGCAGCTACGCCGCCATCTGCTGTTAGAATGCATCCCACAGACAACCAAGTCTGTTCAGGCCTTATTTTAATTCATTTATTTTGTACAAACACAGTATAAATGCATCGAACAGTAACGGAACCAATAGCTACAACGTTAGCGATACGTGTTAAATCAGCGAGGGGCAACAACACTGGAGACTGACAGAAGAAAACATCTGGGGACCCACAGAAACGCGGTGGAGCTTATCATCCTGAGACCACAGTGGTGACGTCTCACCATGAGACAATCAGATCATCTTATTTACTATTATAAAACGGATGCAATATGTGGGGAAATTTTATTAAATTTTTTTTTTTAATGATTTTGAAATGTTTGCTGGCTTCCTTCAAAGACAGGCATCAGATTGTAAAGGCCTGATTTTAACAAAGGAAAAAGCTTTACTTCTTTATCTTGTTCTAATGATTTCACCTTTTAATTACATCACTTTCTGTATTTCCTGCAGGTGAAAATACTAACCTTCCAATTTTCACATTTTTAGCCATGTGTTTACATGCGTTTTAATAATGGCATCCAGGGCCAACCCCATAGTAGAGGCTGAGGAATGAAATATGAAGCTGTTTAGGGCCCCCTGCTGGCTTGGTCTTTAACTGATACATATATATGTAGATCCCAAAACTGTTTTAATGTACATACTATACTGATAGGCAAATGAAGACCTAACATAATGTTTTTGTAGTTTGAGGGAATTCCAGTAAATAAAATGCAATTCAAATTCAATATGGATAATTTATGCTAACTGCTACTTTGTTCAGAAACACTACTTTGTTTTGTAAGGTGACTTACAAAAATGGGAAACATTGTTGCAACTCCCTGGTAATGACAGAAACCCCTCAAATGGTCTCTGAAATAACTTGAATGGACAAAAGTGAAAAGAAAAAAGAAAAAACAAAGAAAAAAACTAGGTCTGAACATAAACAATGGAACAGAAAACATTGAAAATAATAACCATTTTAAACCAAGATGTGTCCTCTAATTAGCATTACACAACATTCAAGCTTGTAATCAGTGAGCCTGCCTATATAAAGCCTGACAAGCAGTCATGCTGTTTGGTAACATGGTGTGTATTACACTCACCATGGACCAGAGGCAACGAAAAAGAGACTTGTCCCTGGAGCGCAGAAAGAAAATTATAGACCAGCCACAAAGCTTGAGAAAAAAATGGGAACTTTTTTGGTGAAGGCCAGCAGCTTCTATGTTCAGAGACCCAAAAATTAAACATACCAAGAAACCCTCATGTGAAACATTGCAGCTCTGGGCTGGTTCTCTTGAATCAATGCAGGGTATAAAAAAAATGTAAAGACTATTGAGGCATTCTGGAGAGAAATGGGCTGCTTTGTGTTAGAAAGCTTGGTCTCAGTTGCAGGTCGTGGGTTTTCCAACAAGATAAATAACCCAAAATCCACAGCTACAAACACCCAAGAATGGCAAAAGATACAAGTCTATTTTATTCTTGGTTTATGAGCCTTGATTTAAATCCTGTTAAACATCTGAGGATGGAGATGAAATGGGGTCTGGAGAAGGAAACCCTTCAAACTCTAACCAAATCTCAAAAGCAATGTCAGATGGAGGGAGAGAGGTTTACAAATATTTTGGTACTGTGTTTATTTTTTGGTGTACTTCTTTCCATCCATTTCATGCGTATATGTACATGTTTGTATAATTTGGTGTGTTCTAGCCCAATTTTGTTCCTGTTAATGGCATGCTGCAAATTATGTCTCTATTTTACTGCCTTTACCTTGTACCTCACTTTAAAGCATAAATAAATTTTGACAAAAAAAGCAATATTGTATTCCCTTTGGCTAATTTTCCTTTTTTGGTTTAATGGTTTTCAAGTTTTATCAGTGACCATTATGGGTTTTCCGTTCATTAACAGGGGCTAGTAACATAACCTTGTGTGTGTGACAGCGAAGCAAAATATAACTTCTTATAAAATCAGTTTTTCCCACCTCTGAGACATTAGTTGTATTTTATAGATTTGTTTTTTGCTTCTTTTTTTTTTTTTTTTTTGGAAATCGCACTTTGAGTTTCAAATTATCAAAAATCTTTAGACAAAAATTACCTGGGGAAATAAAAATGATGTTCTCAGACGAGAGTATCTGTCTACCGCCGGATCTGTTGTGTCAAAAAATAATACTAAATTATTATTAACCTGTCTGACAAAAGAGCTAAAAAGCAACGCATCCCAAAAAAACCTTCAGCAACTTCTTCTTTTGAATTCACGTTCAGATCAAAAATATACAACTTTTCTGATTGGTCTTTCTTCCACATCTACATTTTTTAAAAGTGATTGAAATGTTTGAGATATTTAATTACATCAAGTTAGCGAAGCAGGTTTGGACAATCTAAATAGAACATTCTAGAATGTTAAATAAATCGTTTACATCTGTGAATAAATACATGTTCAAGGTCGAATTTTTTGTGTGCTGTAATGTCACATGTACGCCTTTCACACCATTTTATAACAAAGAATAATAGTCAAACATGGTGGCGGCAGAATGATGTCCGGGGGCTCTCTGCTGAATCAGGACCAGGACCAGTTGCCATGATTGATGTGACCTTGACTTTTGTTCTCAAATAGAAAATTATGCAAGAAGCAGAAGCTCCACCTTTGAATGGCAAAACAATGAAGATTTTTGAGTGACCTAGTCAAAGTCTGGACCTTAATCTGACTTGGAAGCTGAGCCAA